TCTCTTGTGGCTAATAGCCCCTGATGGACGTCTGCTCCAGATGTTTATCCAATTCCCTCTTGTAAGAACATAAGAGAAGCCAATGTTAGATCAGGCCAGTCCAACACTCTGTGTCACACGGTGGCCAGAAATACCAGGTGCCTCCAGGAGGTCCAGCAGTGAGGCCAGGACACCAGAAGCCCCTCCCACTGTTGCCCCCCCCCAAGCACCAAGAATACAGAGCATCACTTGCCCCAGACTGAGAGTTCCTGTCTATACCTTAGCTCCAGCTGGAGGGAGAAAAAGAGGCTCTAAGAAGACAGAATATCCTAATTTCAATTCTGGGCCTCCTTTGGTCAAATACAGCATGTGATTCTTTTCATACTATTTTGTTTCCCTGCACTCAATTTATCTGTTAAAATGTACATTTTTGAGATTACTCGTGCATCAACTTGTGGCAACCCCATGGGTTTGCCATCACCTGCCTCTTTGGTGTAGTGTAGCCAGTTCGGTGTAGTGGTTAAGTGCGCAGACTCTAATCTGGGAGAACTGGGTTTGATTCCCCACTCCTCCACTCACAGCTGCTGGATGACCTTGGGCAAGCCACAGTTCTGTCAGAGCTGTTGTTGAAAGAGCAGTTCTTGAAAGAGCTTTCTCAGCCTCGCCTACCTGACAGGGTGTCTGTTGTGGGGAGGGGAAGGGAAAGGAGTTTGTGAGCCGCTCTGAGACTCCGAGTGAAGGGCGGGGGTAGAAATCCAACCTCTTCTTCTCCCATTCAAAGGGATCGGGGAGGAGGTGGCCTGAAAGGGCTTCCTCCGTTGACCTTGATGGGCCATAGGGGGCCTGACTCGGTCAGCCGAAGGCAGCTCCCTGCGCCCTCACGGATGCCGGTGGCTTTGTGTGGCCAGGCTGTGCTGGGCGGGGAGGGGGGGAGAGAATGCACTGCGGGGGTTGCTGCGGGTCTCTGGCCCTTCCAATGCGGAGAGCCTGCCCCCCCCTCCTGCTGGGGCTCCCGGCCGTGGCCCGAGTCCCGGTGGCCTCCAGGCACCCCAGCCTCACGGCCGCCCTCTTGGGTCCCTCCACAGACGAGGAGGACAGCGGAGAGGAGGATGCCGCCGACGTGGTGACGCGGGCAGCCCTGAAGCGCCAGTCGCAGCAGATCATCGAGGCCAGGACCAAACGCCGCACCCGCTACAGGAAGAAGGAGGGAAAGATGTGAGGGCCCCCCCCCG